CCCTGTGATCTTGATAACCAATGTCAATGAACCGTAGTAACCTGTGGCATCCAGGAAGCCACCCTCTTCCTTAGACGGGGTGAGAAATTCTCTGAAACAGTCCTTTGGACTTCACTTGAGACATTCATTTTTATAGTAGTCTGTAACATTAACTGGGCTACGTGTTTTCCACATTGGCGAGGCTTATTTGATTCTTCTCTCTTTGATTCTTCCTGCTTGTATTTGCCAAGCTAATCTTATCTGTTGTGCTTTGATTTTATTAGTGGTTTACTTCGGTGGTAATCTTAGCTCCAAAGTATGGGGGGACCATTCTTTATATATACTAAAGCTTCTTATATGCTAACTACAGTGTATAGTTCTAAACACACCATAGTTTTAGTATAATTTTTATGTATGGAACTCAGTACCAAGATGTTACCCAGATCTGTGTGTATTAGTCCCAATTATAGTCACAAATGTACTCTAAAGTTTTATTTATAAATGTATGCATATTTTATCAGAATCTCGACATTGGTATATGCCTTCTTTATATGATTTTGAAAAACTGTAAACTCATTACCCAAGTTTTTTATAGTCCAAGTATCTTCTCCATTGAGATTAAAAAGGATCAGTTGTATAATGTTAGAAAGAAGGAAAAACCATATAACACTATTATTTAAGAAAATACACTAGTCCAGTCCCTCTGGTGCTTATTCAATTCTTTACTGTTCATAATATTCGGTTCCATATACTAGTTTTATGTTCACTTCCCTTTTTATGTAAGTAGATTTCTTTCTCACCTATATTTGGATTTACTTCCCCCTTAGAGAAAGACAGATAAATTCTAACAGGCTTGTAAACTAATTTCGCAGTTTCTTTAAAAACACATTTTTTTTGTGCATGGGAAAAGTGGGGAAGAGAAATAATAGCCTTATGTGAAGTGTGATATGATGGCTATCAAAGTGGCTTTATTCAAAGGCCAAATATGCTGAAATAAAAAAAATAAATCAGATTAACATTTTTATAACTTGGCTGCGTTAACCCAAGGCAGTCCTACTCTCAAAAATAACTCCAGTTCCATTCTTAGTCAGTGAATTTCACCTCCAGAGTTGATTTTTTTTTAAATTTTTGCAAGAATGTTGAAAAGGGGGCAAAAGTATTAGAAAAGGAGTCATGAAAAGGTAACTTAAATGAAAAAAATTCCTTTTAAAGACTCGCCAGAGACAAACTAGTTTATTAGTTTGAATAGCAGATACAATTGAAGAACCCAGAAGAATACATATACCATCAAATTATCAGATTGAATCTTTAGTCCAATGAGCTTTGTTGAGTTTTTTGCATTATATATTTTCTTAATTTGACAAGAATTAACACTATAGCTCTAGAAGAGGTTAATTGTATTTGAATTAAGCACTAAAATATCTAAACTCTGTTGCCTGAGAATTTGCAGGCCTTGTGCTCTCATGTAGAGATAGAAGCAGAATTGAGTGGTATTAGGTGGTGTCATAGTTCCAGTAGTTTTGAGTTGTATTATTGCACCATAAAAATACATATACATATTTATATTTTTAGAACCTTATTGTTTTACAGACTCTTTAAAATGTTATTTTTGTCAGTCTTCCAAACCAAGTTGTGATAAGTTCTGTTATCCCTTGACAAAAATCAAACTCAGAAATCTCACTTCGCAAATAGTAAGAATAAAATCGTCACTGAAAGGAGAAACTGTGAAAATCTACAATTGTATATTCATGTCCTATCCCAGAAATACCACATACTTTATTTCCTGCTATTAGTAAAATGTAGAATATTTTGTTTTATGAAATGGTAAGTAAAAATTAGAGATAATAATACATTTTACTTAAAAATCACTTTTATCCCAAGCTTTTCCAAGGCAAACAAAAAGTAAATTCTCTTGTAATGGTCAAAGAAGCAGATCACAAGAGCTTTAAGTGATTTCTGACTTTCTCATGACTTGTTAGCAGTTGATCCCAAGAATTCTGAACCTCTGTATCACTGACCACAAGGCTCTTAAGTAAAATGTTTGCATGTCCCCACTGGGTCAGATCAGAAAGCTGGAGTCGTGGTGTGGCGTGACCAAACAAGCAAAAGCAAAGATACTTTTCTCTTAGCAGAGAGAGGTTGGGAATCAGAGTGTATAATGGAGAGGCACAAGCTGTGTTGGCTTCTGTCCTATAGCTTTTAGAATATCCTTTGTGGAAGGAAAGAAAGAAAACTTCCTGCTATAAGACTAATGATGCCCCAAGGAAAAAGCATCTGTTCTCTTGTGGAGTGCAGTATGTCTTAAGGAAAGCAGCTGTTATCTGCTTTGAGTTAAAAGGTGGGCTCGTTCCCACCTCCACACTTCCTGAGCTGGAGTCGCTGCTCCTTCTGTGATGTTGGCGGCTGGTATAAACAGCTGAGGCCCTTCTCTAAACATCCCAAACCCCCTCGCCCTCTGGTTCAGCCCACGCAGCAGCCTGGGGAACTGACTTCACAGAGTGTGTGTTTTCTTGTCAATTTTGGTCTTGGGAAAAGATTCTTACTGAGAATCGTAATAAAGGGATTTGTTCTGTGAAGTTTGGATTCGGTCGAGGGGCTGCACATGGGGATCTGGGGGACCACGTGTGGCCGTGAGGCCTCAGATTCCTCACCCCTGGTCGAGTAGGAAGCGGGTGATAGGCACTGAGAGTTTAACCAAGTCTGGCAGACGTGAGTGAAAGCTGAAGGTCATGATCAAAAGGAGAATGTGTAAGTGTCAAATTTGTAAGGAAATCCACAGCTGTGGACTGCTCCAGAGAGGTTATTGTTCTGACTGTTTTTCTTCATAAAAGCTGGAGGAAGGTAAAGCGAAACAGTGGTATCTCAGATACTCATTGGGAACCTGGCTCGAATTTCTTCATGTTTCTTCCCTCTGCCCCAAACCAAGTAAAAGCCTGTTTTGGACGGGTTCATCTCAGCCAGATGTGGCTGAAACAGTTAACAAAGTGCTGACGGGGCAGGCGGCACCGGGGTGGAGGAGGGGTTCCTGCAAAGTCCCAGGCCGCAGGGCCCACCCCACGGGGCCCAGCAGGAGTCCAGCAGAGAAACCCAGGGCTCCGCCCAGTGGAGGGAGCCAGGCCTCCTTGGCGCTACCTGGTTGTTGCTTCGTGGAAATTGGGTCTCAGGATGGCCTGATTTTTCAAGAGAAGCTGGAAATCCTTTTTTGTTGTTGTTAAATTCTCCCAATTTTTCGACAGTATAACAAATTTTTAACAAATATTCAGTACCAAACAAACAGATCGTAATGCACTTGCTGGCTCTGCCAGTCCTCCAACTCACTAGCGGGCTTCGCCCTCGCAGGAGGCTTCAGGATCTTAAACATGGAACATACTGACTCAGATTAAGCAAAGAGAATGATATTTTATTCTCTCCCATTCGTTTAATAAATATTCATATTTTAAAACCGTATCCACTCATATAGTTACAGTGGATACAAAAGTGTGTGAGATACAGCTGTGCTGGTAGGTAGATCCCAGGGTAGTTTAGGAGACAGAAAGATAAACATGAAATTAAGTTATAGTGAACTTAATGTAATTAAATGGGCATTCTCAGGGTAGACCTACCTCCAAGGGGCACTTGACCCTTCTTTGGATGGGAACCATGTCTTAAAGGAATCTACCAGTTAAAGAGTGGGTGCTTTACATGAAAAGCAGGAGATACAAAGGAACATTGATGAAATTGCAAATATTTACTACAATTGAATGATTATAAAATCAAAATCAAGGACGTTAATTAAAAAGCACATCGCTCTCTAACAAACAAAACCCGCTTCCTGAGTCTCCAAGTGTGTTCATGGGCACCCCGGCAATTCTCATGGTCGGGCGTGGGGGAAGCAAGGGTGGTCAAAGTCAAGTCCTGCAAGGCTGAGAGCAGGACAGCCTGCCTGCACTGGAGGCCTCTCACCATTCCCGAACTATCTGGGCTACTATGGGCAAGAAATAAGGCTCTCTGATTAAGTTCCTGTACCTGAAAAATGGAGCGAGAGTGTCCACTTCATGAGGGTGTCCTGAGAATGAACCATAAAATGCTGTCATCATCCTGCTCACCACTTGATTCCCCGCCCATAGCACTGGGATGGTTCCAAAATAATTAATTACTCAATAAATGTCTGTTGAATGGGTAGAACTGAGCACATATAACAGGGCCAGATCCCTGGAATTCTCACTGTTCTAGACACCATCTCGGGGCGGGAGCACTCTGTTCCCCTCTACCTAGCCTACCCCGAGTCATACCAGTTACCTTCCATGGAGCTCAGTTTATTTTTAAAAAAGCGGGGGAGAGGATAGGTGGGGGAAGGTGCTACTGTACTGAAAGATTTCTAGTGCATTACATTAAAGAGAAAAAATAAACACAATGTGCTATTTCCATGTAGCAAAAGCAAGAAAACTTTGCGAGTCACCGCTGCTTTAATTAACAGCTTTATTTCATTTTCTTCTTCTCCCCTTACCTAAGGCTGCTGTGGTACCATCCGCCCAGACCCTTAAAATTACTGACTTTAGCTTCAGTGACTTTGAACTGTCTGATCTGGAAACAGCACTGTGTACAATTCGGATGTTTACTGACCTCAACCTCGTGCAGAACTTCCAGATGAAGCATGAGGTAGGAATGCACTGATGTCCTCAGGAAAGGTCTGTGTGTGTGTGTGTGTGTGTGTGTGTGTGTGTGTGTGTGTGAGAGAGAGGGAGGGAACTGGTTTTGAATGCTAATATGTAGTATGGAATCAAGACTTTTACATTTCAGCAGTTAATCTACTGTCATCTAATGTATACCCGAGATTTTTAAAGAAAATTTATCAGCTACTAAAAGGACATTTACTGGGCTCCTACCATGAATCAAGCACCAGGCTGAAGAATAAGGAAGTGTTCCTAGGATGACGGGAGGGACTGGGCTGGGAGGCCTGGCGCGCTGTTGAGGGTGGGCGGCGGGAGGATCCGGAGCGGAAGGTCAGCAGCAAACCACACCGAACCTTGCAGGCCACGCAGAGGAGTTTGGATTTGGTCCTGAAAACGATGGCGAGTCACTGAGGAGCGTTACGCAGGGCAGTGGCACGCTCTGACTGCGGAGGTTAGGGCGACAGTGTCCAGGCAGGGGCCGGGGCGCAGTGAGGGAGGGAATGCCGGCTGGGGCGAGGCCAAGCTCTCGTTGGAATGGGGTGGCCCAGATGGGGTGAAGATGAAAACTGATTTTAACCCCTGTTAACTAACCTTATTCATCTCTCAGACAATAACAAAACTTAAATCAGTGCCTTCTAATACCAGTTTGGATATATCAGGGAATTCTGATTTGTTAATAATGGCTGTATGTATGTAGCATCAAAGAAAAGGGAAGAACAGCAGAGACTATTTTAGAAAAAATTCAGTAATCTTGCCTTTAAAGTTACTTTTTCTGGTCAGTTGAATGTCTGTTTCCTTGTACAGAATTCCTGTCTGGAAATTTAAATGCCTCGAAGGCCTTCGCTAGTTAGCACTGCGTCAGTTCACACAGAGAGAATTTGTGCACGGGCGCCGTGTACTCAGCACCGTGCCAGGCACACGTGTCGGCACGCGTCTTCCCTGTTCCCCAAGGCCTCCCAGGAGCGAAAACTAAGATTGAATTCAGCGAAGGTTAATACAGGGTCATTTATGGTATTATTGGAAGGCCCGATCTCGTTCTTTCTTGAATTTGACCAAAGTTTATATTACTCTTTCTTGGGGGAAATAAAGAACTGTCCATAGAATCTTCGCTAATAACACTTGACCCTTGTTCAGGTGTGTTAAGGGATATCATGTCATTGAGTTACTTTGAAAAGCTCTCAAGAAAGGTCCTTTGGTGACTTGGTTATCATCATCCCCACTGTACAAATGAAGAAACTGAGACCACCTGGTAGAGAAGAGAGATCATGGATTTTGAGTCATAGCTCCACTAGTGACTAGCTCTTACCCCCTTGGGCAATTAATCTCTCATTCACAGTTTTCTCATCTGTTAATTAGGGGAAATAGTATTACTCTCCCGATGGGAGTCTTGTGAAAATTACACATGCATCTGTGTGATAATCTGTTAGTATGTGTGTACTTATGTATGATATTCTGCTTAACACGCAGGAGTAGAGTGTGTGTCAGTTCTCCCATTCTTAGGCCAAATTTGACTATGGTTATATCATCCATCAGATTTCTTTACTGTAGACTATAGGGCTCAGTTTTGTTTTTCTTTCTAGAGACAGAGTCTTGCTCTGTTGCCCAGGCGGAGTACAGTGGCCCAGTCAAAGCTCTCTGCAGCCTCAAATTCCTGGGATCAAGCAATCCTCCTGCCTCAGCCTTCTGAGTAGCTGGGACTATAGGCGTGCCCCACCACACCTGGCTTTTTTTTAAATTTTTTGTAGAGATAGGATCTCACTGGTGGTGCCCAGGCTGGTCTTGAACTCCTGGCTTCAAGTGATCTTCCTACCTCAGCCTCCCAAAGTGCTGGGATTACAGGTGTGAGCCACCACACCCAGCCAGGGCTCATTTTTAAAAGCCTTCTCTGTTAATGGCATGAAGATCTCATTTAGAGCCAGAAGTTCTCCGTGTGATTCTCACTTCTGCCTTTCACTAATTACGGGACCGTATGAACCTAGGTAGCATCTCGGATCCCTTGCCATTCTCAAGAGCACCTGTACTTTCAATGATGCTTTTGAAAGGGCTTGGCCAGAGCAGAGGAATGTTGTACCTTTTAATGACATTCTTGTAAGTTGATTTATTCTTATTGGCTGTCAGATAGCATTTAAGGGTTCAGTAATAAAAATAATCATTCAGAGTTTCCGGAGCAATCTTTAGTCTTAACTTTTCCTGGATTTTTATCCTAATGGATATTAGGAATGTCTCAATGTCGGATTCACCTACCTTCCTCTTCTGTTTGAACAACTGCTATTCTAATTCTGACCAGCATCAGCGTGAACGCCGCAGTCGTTCAGGTTGGCCTTCCTTCCTTTCCTTGGTGCCTCTTCTATTTATTTCAGATACTATTGTCAGTATAATCTCAGAACAGTAAGATTAAAATGTTATTGCTAGAGAGGAAGAGAGCATCTTGAAGCTGCCCTGACGAAGAATATTTCATGCTGAAAGCTACATCTTCATGCCTCCAGTGGGCTTCCAAACCTTGAGTGACTCTCCAGTGACGATCGCAGCCACTGCCTCGTGCTGGTCTCCGAAACAAATTTTCGACCCTCCTCAAACAAATCTACCTGTGCTGTGCTTGTTTTTACCTTCTATCTTTTACGTGTTCCCTGCCCTGATTTATGGCTGCTCCACTTAATGCCCCAACACACTTTCCTCTTCCGCAGAGCCTGACTCCGGGGTCTCTGTCTGTGGGAGTGCTGAGACTGGCCTCATGCCACTTGGATTGCTGTTTGGCCGTTTATAAATTTGTGGTCTCAATTTTATGTTTGTTTATATATTTAATTTCCTTTATGTATGCACTTTGTCATTTTCACTACTGATTGAGTTTCCTGAAGGCAGGAGCTGAGCTATGTGTTGTTTCTTCTCTTTCTCCCAAGACATCCGAAGTAGTCCACTCAGGACCTAGGGAGCCGTCCGTCACATCGGAGACTGATTCAGTGCATAGGACGTGCTCCCAAGAGTCATCCAGACTGCAGAGAACCACTCAGTGTCCTGTACAAAATACTCTATTACAAATGTGAATGTTGACAGGCATATATACTGAGAACTTAGAGACATGACCTTAATTTTCTTGTATGCTGTTGAGAACATCCTGGCAACAGAATCTAAAACTGTGCTTAAATCTAGTTACTAATTACTATATCCATTGGGTTATCCAAATCCATCAGGTCCATCTTGAGGGGAGCATAACAGAGCCGTCCATCAGGAATTACGTTTCACGGAGTGATTTTGCTCATTGTTTCACATTGTATGGTATTGTGTGCATATTTAATTACATCTTTAAATTTATGATTAGTAAAAAGATATATCCATAGATTCAGTTGCTGGGTTTTCCTGTTTATTCAGTTTGCTGCTTTAATTAATCACCAGTAATTTTCTACAACATGTCATTGTATAGTTTCTGAGTATATCAAAGAAAGTCTATAGCTGTTACTTAAAATTCTCCTACAAGATTAATCCATCACCTTCTTGCGAGGCCTTATTCAGAAATGGTCATCACAGTGGGGGCTGCGGTGGCTGTGGGGTGAACACATGCCAGTCTCGGGCACGCTGTCTCCCTCTGCTTGAGAGACGGGACGCGGAGCACGGAAGGCTTGGAAATGTTAGGCTTCTTGGTTATTGGGATTCCCTGTGAACTAAGCCGTAGAATAGGAACAAAAGGCCTGAAAAGGGAGGGTATGAAAGCGTTGATTGCCCACCAACCCCTTTATAAGTAATTTTTACCCACAATGAAGAAACCTTGTTTTTGGCCTACTTCTGTAGCCAGTCATATTGCGTTGAATATTGTCAAAGCAAAATTTTTTTCCCTGGTACTTTTTCCATTCCCCAGGGCAATGCTTTCTGTGTTTGAAGCATCCCCAGTGATACATGCGGGGAGAAGCATGTATTTATTTTTACAAATCCCCAAAAGTATAGTAAATCATTCACATTTGAAGAGAGTCAGGCTCTGAAGCTAATACAAACACAGAATAGCCATGCTTAGGGCCTGTGAGTCCTGAAGATTTTATTTAAGACACCACTTAGAAGTTGAATTAATTGCTCAACAGTCTGTCCTTTTTTCCTCCCATCTTTTAAAGCACATTTTTTTCCATGTAGATCCCAGGGCTTTATTTTGCATTTATTTTTTGTATATTCTTGATAACCAAGCAGCAACTCTGCCTGAATATGTAAGCATAGTTTGAAAGGACAAAGATCTAATGATGGTATGAGGACTTGCAGCTCCAGTTTGTCCTTGGGCCTGTGCTCTATACCTTGTTACTAGGCCACGCTCAGGACCTTGCACTAAATTCCTTTGCAGATATACAAAGTGGCAGCATGGGAAGAACTTGAGAGAGGCTGCCTCTGTGGCTCTCTAAAGGTGAATTCATACCTATTAACTCTTTGGAGTCTCCTAATTGATGACACATGGACATTATATCTTTTAAAAAGCTAGTCAGTGCCCTGCTCGTGCCAAAGATACCTTTCTATCTAATTTAGGCCTGGCGCAGTGGCTCATGCCTGTAATCCTATTACTCTGGGAGGCTGAGATGGGAGGACTGCTTGAGCTCAGGAGTTTGAGACCAGCCTGAGTGAGAGTGAGACCCCATCTCTACTAAAAATAGAAAAAATGAGCCGGGCGTGGTGGTGGCACCTCTAGTCCCAGCTACTCAGGAGGCTGAGACAGGAGGATCACTTGAGCCCAGGAGATTGAGGTTGCTGTGAGCTAGGCTGATGCCACGGCACTCTAGCCCGGGCAACGGAGCGAGACTCTGTCTCAATCAATCAATAAAGAAATAAAGAAGTCAAATTTAGCACAGTGGTTAATATGGTGGGCTCACAGTTAAACTGCTCACGTTTAAATGTGGGCCCTTCCTTACTAGCAGAGTGACCATTAGCAAGTTACTCCCGAGTGTCGGTGTCCTCACCTGTGAAATGATCAAAACAGCAGTGCCTCCCTCACGCTTGTCAGGCTCAGTGCGAATGCTTTGTACAGTACCTGGAACATGATAAATGTGTGATAAACGTTAGCAATTATTGTTACTACTTATGCTTTATTTCCTAAAGGTTCTTTGCAGATGGATTTTAAGTGTCAAGAAGAATTATCGGAAGAATGTTGCCTATCATAATTGGAGACATGCCTTTAATACAGCTCAGTGCATGTTTGCTGCTCTCAAAGCAGGCAAAATTCAGGTACTTTTTAGAGCCATTCATATATTTAAGTCATTTTGTTGCTTAGTAGTAAAATTTACAGCATATTCTTTCAAGCTTTTTTTAATGTACACTAATGATCGAAAATAGTATGTACTGTCACATAATGTTATATTTTGTTAATTTAAAGGATTAATATGGCAAAATAGTTGCTAATTTTCTTTTGTATATAATATATATGGCATATTAGAAAACCTTTAAAATAACTTCATGGCACACCTAAATAGTCTTAGGGCAAATAAATACTTCCTTTAGAGGAAAACACGACATTATTAAGAGGAAGTAAGAAAAAGTGCCACATTTTTCATGTTCACATTCAACCTGCTCCGTAGCAGAATTCCACAAAAACCACCCAAGTCCCAAACTTGGCTTCAGAGATAAGTCCAGGGTTTTCTATTGCATTTTTTCTGGAGCACTCGTTTAATTTTACAAGTTTTGATTTCACACACATTGACCACAGACTGTTTAAAAGGAAGATCAATGCAGAAAACATTCAAGTAATTCGTTCCTTTCCAGGCCAAATTTTATCCATATCTCTGTCCTTAGATTCAGTGGGGATCGACTAGTTACTCCAGGTAAGTGATTCCAGGCATCCATCACGCAACTGCTTTTAATTCAGAGCTTCCCTGCTCTTCTTCTTTTTAATAAATTCTAAAAATGTTATTCTCTGTCTCTACTTTCATAGTATGCACAGTTTTAACTGGCTAGATCTAAAAGAAGTGATTTTTGTCCAAGAAGCCATACAAAATACCATAGTAATTGTTCCTGCCCTAGCCAACATCTATAGGTTGAGTATCACTTATCCAGAACGCTTGGGACCAGAAGTGTCATGGATTTCGGATTCTTCTGGATTTTGCGATGTTTGCATTGTACATGGCTGGTTGAGGATCCCTACTTTGAGAATCCAAACTGCTCCCACGAGCATTTCCTTTGAGTGTCATATTGGGGCTCAAAAAGTTTTGGATTTTGAAGCATTTTGGATTTCAGATTTTCCTATTAGGGGTGCTCAACCTGCATTAAAAAACAGGGTAAACTTATTTTGGAGTTTGGAAAGATCATAAGGATTATCACCATTGAAACTATCCTTTTATGAGAAATAACAGTACGATCATTTTTGTGTTTGTTGTAAAACCTAGAGTGTTGAGACTTCCAGCAGAATAGAGCTGATGCTAATTTTAACTGGTGTTTTTTTCACTAACAAGGGAGAATAGCATTGAAGATAATACAAATGTCAGATACTAAAACATAACCTAAATTTGACTTGGGACTATATTACGCAACTTTTTAAAGCCAAATTTTCATTCCGAATCATCTTTTTTCTATTGTTTTGCTTACCATTCCCATTGTCCACATTCCTTAAGGATACAGCCACTGATAGCAGGAAGTAAAGCAGAATCTGCAGGGAACTAAAAGAGAAAAAGCAACTGTTCCAAGTTTATTATGATTATTTCTCATACTAAAGATAACTAAGATTTGGTGATATTTACTATAGGTGGACAGATGATTAATTTTTTGAGGCATTTCAATTTTTCTGTTGATAAGGGGCAGTTGTACTAATCCCATTCTGAATGACAAAGTACAACCAGTTCCTGCAGAACAGGACTATAGGGTGAGTCCTTTGTGGCTGTAAAGAAGTACATTTGTAAAAATTACTGAAAAGAGGTAGGTAACACCCTTTACCAAATTGTATCTTTCTCTTTCTTTCCTCTCATGTCTCCGGTCCTGCAGAACAAGCTGACCGACCTGGAGATACTTGCATTGCTGATCGCTGCATTAAGCCACGATTTGGATCACCGTGGTGTGAATAATTCTTACATACAGCGGTAAGACCATTTCCAAGCAAAACAACAAAATGTTTCCTTTAAATTGTAGGGCTGTATTTTTTAAAAAGCCACAGCAAAATTTGATAGTACAAAATTTCAATTGGTCGTGGTCCCATAACATACTCCGGTTATATTGAAGAGAAGTGGAAAAAATAATGCAGGTCCAATATTATGTTGATAATGTTTCAACCCTAAAGCTCAAAAAATATGTATGTTGAGAATCTTATTTCGTGAGACAATTATCAGGAGCTTTGCTTTAGTTCATGTACACCCAGCTTAAGAGCTTCTTTGGAAAGCTATTAAGTCTAGTAGAAAGGTAGAATTTTACCCTGCAATAGAAAAGATAATATTTTAAAAGTACTTCTTTTGGCCCTATGTCCATAGTAAGTGCTCAGGAAAAGGAGGCTTTTGGTCTTAGTAGAGGCAGTATTGCACAGTGTTAGAGAACTTGGGCTCTGTGGTTAGACTTGGACTCAAATCATAGCTCTGCCACACAGTCTCTGTGTGGCCTTGGACAAGGGAGTTAATTTCTCTATGCCTTCATTTCCTGATCTGTAAAATGGAGAGAACAGCATACCTACCTTATACAGTCGATGTAAGTTTCAAGAGATAACACACATCAATACCAAGTAGAATGCTCAGTACCTATTTAAGTGTTAAATCTCAGCGGCAGATGCTGGAGATGTATCATCATCAGAAGTCTGCTTGTTAGCTGATTTTGAGAGTAACATACTAACCCTTAGGACGAGAGTTTCAGGCTCCTTTAAGGGCCATACTTACGTGGCATTTGTGATGACAAATGAGATGATAAAGGTAACATCACTTATCAAATTTTTGAGCCACTGTGACATTTTTATATTTTTGAGCCACTGTAACATTTTTATTTTCTTTCAGCAATTTGGTTGAAAAGCCTACATTTTAATGGCGATATCTCTTACTAATGAGCATTTTTTGAAGTATGCAAGTGATTCAGTTAATGGATAGATCTCTTAAGGAAATTCCAGATGTCTGATATCTAGAGGGAATTTTAGAAAGCTCCCTAATCACATTCTCTTTATCTAAATAAACAGAAAACTTCATGTAAAAAGAATTGTAGTGATATAACAACCACGTCCTCTGCTGACCTTTGATGGGAAAAGACAGCAAGCTCTTGCCTGTGTCAGAGTCTGCCTGTTTCCTCTTGAAGATCTAATGTTTTGCAGAACTGACTGGGTAACATGTCCTTTGTCCCGGTGCTCTGTCATGTGATTACAATGCTAAGCCTCACATAGATGCAGAGAGTAATTATGAAAGGAAACATCGACATGAAAAGATATAAAGTGTAGAGTCAAGCCACGTAGTAATAGTGTGGCCTTCCTACTCAGCACAACCTAAAGACCACCGTCAGCATGTGGGACACTGGACATAATATTACTGGTATATGGATTGCTCTTAGATGCTATATTTTCCTGCTTTATGGTGAAAAAAACACTCAGCTATTTTTTTCCTTTGTTTATTTAAAAATAATTACCCCCAAAAAACATCTGGAGAAACGTCATCTTCTCTTCAAGGGGGGAGAAAAAAAGCACCCTGGGAAAAAGTCACAGAGTACAGAATCTTGCTTTCACACACACCACAAAGCAGAATTCAACTGAGTAAAAACTTTAACAAAAACGCTAAAGAAGTTCCAGAGATTTTTATTTTTTTGTACATCCCTGTGGTTTGAGTAGAGGAAACCAAGAATTTTCCAGGGATGTTTCTTTTTTTCTTTCCTTACTGGTAAATGAGTGATACTTAAAGTAGGATTTTCTCAGCCAGGGGACTCTTGGGAGAATAAGAGTGCCATAAACTTTCCCATGTAAAGTACTGTGTCCAGCCCTCATCAGACATTCCAACTAATATATAAAGAAAATCAAAATAACAAAAGAGCATAGAAATAAAATACATCAGAAAGAAGAAAAGTGCCCATGTGGTAACAAAGTTAGAAACTCAAGTTCTCTCATTCATTCTTGGACATCTTTTCAGAAAATTACTTTGAAGTAAGATATCCTTGAATAGGAAGCTGTCCCTTGATTCATTATTTGATTCCTTCCTTGTCTAGGAGGACTACAGGGGACTACTGCAGGTATACCGGTGGAATATTTGGGAGAAGAGTTCATTGCTTATGCTTACTTCTCCCACTTGGGTGAATAAAGGAAAGTGTGATCTCAGATAATGAATTATTATTTTAAAAATAGGCTGTAATCAGAATAAAATGGCTGAAGTGTGGATATCCACTAGAGAAAACACAATTGTAACATTTGGGTTACATGGAGTAATTATGAGCGTTAGGCCTGCAGTCAATATAAGCAGACTGTCGCAGATGTATTTCTTTGGTTAGATTCAAGTTTGGTGTTTATAAAATAATGTGGTGAAATTATCCTGTATTCTAGGCATATGGATAATGAGCAGTTACTAGGGCTTTTGCCCTTTGCAAGGCAGAGAGCCGTAGAGTGTAAAATACAATTCCTGCCGCTAAGGAATTGTCACAGTCTTATGAGATGATGGCGATCATTGCAAGAAAGTATCTAGTGAGTCCCGAGTTGTTCACCAGCGTGGACTGCAAGTGTTGAGCAGGAAAAGAGATTAGTCAGGACTGGTGTTGTGCATCTCCACTGCTAACGGAGGAAGTGAGGCTTAAACTGGATCTTAAAAAGGGGTAGGATTTGGAGAGAAAGGATACAGGTGTTCCAGGAACACCGTGAGGTGGCATTTTCTTGGGACAGTAATGCTGGCTGGCCTTACGGGAGTCAGAGGTTCACATTGACTAGGAACGAAAAGTAGGAGGATAAACAAGTATCACAGAAGCTTTAAGACCCTTTCGAGGGAGGGCTGTAAAACTAAGCAGCAGGTTTTAAATTGATACAGTGAAAAACAAGGAGCCATTGCAGTAAAGACACTGTGAAAAAAGTCTGAAGTAAGCTGCAAGGGAAATGGATAGAAATTAGAACCACAGAGCCCAGCTAGAAAGCAGGCCGGGTGTGGTCCGAAAGTCACGTATTAGCCAGTGAGAGGGAGAGAGAGGAGAAAAAATTTCATATTGAACAGCTACTTTTATGCATGAAAGATAAATCATGACTTCGGGTCCAAGAAATTGGAACAATGTCAGTGCGCTGATGAAAATGAACGAGCTGGGAAGTTGCGTATGCGTGCTTCGGCAGGGAGGGTGGAGGGTGGAAGAGTTTTGGCAAGGAGGAGAAAATAATAATAAATAGGGTGGTAGTTAGACAAGGTAAAATGACCAAGTGAATGTTTTTTTCAAGACTAGAGATAGTTAAAAAAAAATCTCCTGGTAGCCACAGTCAGAGCGTGTGTATTTGTCCTGGGAGAGATTCTGTGCCGTGGTCTTCTCTGCTCTTCAACTGAAGGCAGGAATGAGCTGGTGTCACGGGCTGGCGTGGTGGTAACAGGGCCAGCAAGATCTGGGAGAGTTAAAAGGGGACTCCATACAGCACACAGTGACAATTTGTGCAGTTCACACCAGGCACAGTTCCTTTTATCCAGGAACGAGATAATCCCTGGCGAGGCCGACGGTCCTGAGAGACCAGAGAGCCGATTATGAATGAAGTGCAAGAGCAGTGAGTCGCAGTGTCCGCAGCAAACAATAATATATCCCGTACCATGGTAATATATCCCTCACCATGTGGCATTTGGAACTCTTCTTGGAACTTTATATGATTGGTTCATTTAGTCCTTACACCTCCGTGCAGTGGCTGGGATGGTTATGGGGGTTAAGGGCCGGCTCAAGTCACGCCTGGGTTTGAATCCTGACTCCTCTCACCACGTGACCTCGGACACGTCATCTAACCTCTCTACCCCTCTGCTTCCTTCTCTGCGTAATGGAATGAGGAAAGCACCTGTCTCACAGGGTTTTCATCAGGATTAAAGGAAGAGAAGTCAATGTCAAGTGCTTGGAACAGAAGCCAGCACACACTAAGCACTCCACAGGTCTTGGCTGTTCCCACAGGGGTGCTCTTGATGACAGACGGGTGCAAGATCTCGCTGTGTCCTGCGGTGCATAAAGGGAGTGGTAGAGACACGACGCCCAGGAGCACCCAGCGGCCGGGGGACAGAGGTGTGAGCCTGCGCCTGCCGTTGACTGGAAGAGACAGTCAGTTGTGCCCAGGAGGTGAAAGAACTGTGAGGTCACAAGGTCAAATGCATCATCACCTTGAAAATTTATGTCATTGAACAGGACTGCAGAGAATGGGAAGGCAACGTAAGCCCTGACTGGTAGAGGAAGAAAATAGTGATGATTTCGAGAGAAATGGTGAAGTACAGAACGAAATGGGGTTGATGTGGGTTATAAAGCAGTGGTTAGAAATTTGAGCCCAGAGTAATATATATGGACAAGAAGCAGAATTCAGGAAACTTAGCATTAGTGAAAAGAGGAAGACTAGCGTGGGGGGATTTTTTTTCTCACAGGGCTTTCATTTCCTGTAGATTTCTAAGGCTTTTTATTTCTAGAATATTGGATGGATTTCTGCACGAGCGTCCTAATAGCACTCTCAGAGACGGACCAGCACACAACCGTGCAGAACGGAAGACCTGCAGGGAGAGGATGCCAGTCCATTAACGCTCGTTGACATCAGCGTGAGAATAAATTGCGTAGTGCTGGCAGTTTAAATGGGTCCTTCTGATGCAGCCTCAGCTAAAGCAAGCAACACAGCCTTGTGCTTGAAAGAGTGAAAAGCAACAGATGGAGAATACATTGGTTTCCGTGAATATTTTTGTAAACAGGAAATTTAGAGCATTTGTCACTCTTTTATTGATTCATAAATCTGTATTTTTAGATAAGTAAAGGCAAACACAATTTGCATTCATCAGTCTCACAGGCCAAGAATTTTCTCTAATGTGAAACAGTCCTTTCTGCATCATCTAAAAATGCAATGTGCGTTTGAAGTTCTAGCTTGCTGGTGTTATGTCCCCCTAACTGCGTCTCCTGGCCCAGCCCCGCGTGCCTGTGCAGCACTGTGGTGTCAGGAGACGGGGTGATGCAGTGGAGAGGATGTATTCGAACCCCGGCTCTACCATTATGTTAGCCTTGAGCACAGTAAATGATCCCTCGGAACCTTTAGTTGTCTAAAAACCAAATACAAAAATGCTGATTTTAGAGGGGCCTCAGCCTGGGGTACCTCCGAGGCACAGCCAGAGACAAAGTTGGCATGCGGTACAGCTTGTGTGCGAACGTGGCCCCTGGGAGCAGGAACTCGGGACTGGGAACGAAACCGGGAGGAAGGGAAAGCCAGTAGCGTGACTTACCCACATGTCCACCCAGGTGACTGGTGCTCAGTCCTGCCAGGTGCTTTTGCGGAGTCTCACGAAATGAAACCCAGAGTTGTTCGACAGGACAGAAGGCAGTTCTCCCTACGCCCCCACAGCGCGCTGGGCAGAGTGGCCCCAAGGCTGTGACGCCCCCACACTTCCAGGTTGAACCTGTGTGAGCTGCGGGCGGAACGGAGAGGAGCTCGGGGTGGCCAGGGCAAGGCACCTTCTGACCGGTCCCTGCGTGAAGCCTGTCGGAGCACGCGCGAAACAGGACACGCATCCGTGGCTGACGGGGCGCGAGCGAGGGCTTGCATGTGGCGGATGGAGTGCGCCACATGGGTCACTGCAGAAACGGAACGTGACAGACTGCGGCACAGTGCCTGGCGCGTCGTAGGCTCTCACAAATAGCAATTGGTGTCCCTGGGGAAAACAGCTGTGACCAAATTCAAGAAAGGGGGTTGCAGTCTAATGGGGTGATCGACTTATAAACAGCTAACACCTGGCAGAAGAAAGTTGATATTAAACTCATACTGTATGTATGTCTTTGAATTTCTTATATAAATGAAAATAGCTTTTCCTTTTATTTTGAAAGGGATGAGGAAGGTAGCAGAGGCTACGTTAAATTTGACTTTAGCATGTCCAGTCTGAGAGATGAGAAAACAGTGTTGCCAGACAGAGAACAGAGAGCAGGGCAGGACCCAGAGGCAGAGCGCCAATTCCGTGTCTCCCAGGCCTCCTCCTCCGTGTGGGCTTCTCCCCGGTGGCGCTCTGCTCCCAGGGTTGGGGTTGCTGTCTGTCTGCACGTCCATGCGTTCCAAATCCCTGTCTCCAAGCCAGGCCCGAGTTCAGACATTTATATCCACTTGGGCAGATCTCAGCCACCTTAAAATCAGCAGATCCCGCACTCAGCTAGTCATCTTCCCTGCTGCACCCCGCGGCTGTAATCTTCTTCTCCCTTTTCCCCTTTGTCTGTAAGCGAGAACCATCCCAAGGCAGAAACTACATTCTTTCTTTTTTCCTTCATCTCCCTCACCCCCTCCTAGGCAGAATTCATGGCCACCCCCTAAACAGCTCTCAGATAACTTCGCTTCTCTTCCTTTGGGCTGCTACCACTATAATCCAGCCTCGCTTTTACTTAGGTTACTAGAAGTTTCCCAGTAGTCTCCTAACTAACTCCCAGTAGTCTCCACATACCCAGCCTTGTTTCCAGAAAATTCATCCTTATTCACAGATCTCCTCACATTACTGCATTCATTGTCCCCGAGCACAGTGGCTGATCCGTAGTACAACTCACTAAACATGGAAGGAACGAAGACGACAGCAAGAGTGAATTTGGAAAAGGTTACAGCAACAATAACGGCAACGAGTCAGCAATACAGGTGATAGTTAAGCAATAGGAACAGGTGACATTACCCATTTTCTCACCTTTGCTCTCACTTTGCTGTTTTTGTTTTCCCTCAAGCCTCTCTCACTCTACCCATGTTTTCCCTATATTGCGTTTCTTCAGTCTGGAGTAGCTTCTCTGTCCTCAACAAATCAAATGCAACGTAAACTAATAATTCACATACTCGCATGAAGAATAACAAATCCGTTGTATCATCTAATACTGGTAAATGGTGTTTTCCAATTCATAAACCCCTTTCCTATATATTTTAGGAAGAGAAGCTTTCAGGAACTTTGTCTTTCAAAGAAGAAATAGTGAAACTATGCTTGATAGCTACGTATGAAGGAGGGTCATGAGGTGGAGGTCTGCTTGTCATGCTTTAGAACTTGACTTGTGACTATCCCATAGATGCAATGAACTGAATGTAATATGCTTCCCCTCTCTTTGCTCAGCCAAAGGGCCTCTACTGCTTTGCCAAGTTCAATTGAGAGGATGTCTAGTAGGATATTGTCTATTGAAATAACCTGGACCCCACATGGGGAGCTCTGACTCAGCTATGTCTCTCTCTCCCCGCCTCCTTCCTTGCTCTCTCTCCCTTGCCTCCATCACTCACACCTCAGTTAAGTCCATCTCTGTCAGTCCTTTTCGTATTTGCCGGCACAAGTGAACAAGCTGACCTTCGGCCCGAGCATTATTTCAGAGGAAAAGCTAGGATGTGAATATTTTTTTATGATTTTAAATCATTTGCAGTTTTGAAGTTGAAAAGCATTATTAGTACAACTATTTTAGAGACTTTCTTTCGCATTTGTAGAAATTAGTCCTTTGTCCATATTCCATCCTTCTACTGTTTTCATCAATGTTAAAACCAACAAAATTGTTCATACGTAGAGCTGGCAGCAGTTACATTGGTATTTGAAGGCATTTTGACTCTTTGTAATTATTTCCCGGAAATTAACTCACTTTTTGCTCAGGAACAGGAGAGAAAATTGTTAGTTTGATTAATTTTGTGAAGTAGCCTCTTTTTTAGTTAACCAGTAAGAATGAGCTGATAAAGTCACATATTGAGGAAATCGATATTTTTCTTTCTTCAACAAAATATTTTTCAGAAGCGAACACCCACTCGCTCAGCTCTACTGCCACTCCATCATGGAGCACCATCATTTCGACCAGTGCCTGATGATTCTTAATAGTCCTGTAAGTACCTAATTTATTGTTGTGGAATTTTTAAAGTGAGCTTTATAAAGGCAGTTTTATTTTTAGGTTTTGGATTTATTCCCAGCATCATACATTCTTGAACATAACCTTATTCCTTTTTGGGTAAGGAAGGCAAGGCCAAAACGTTTGAGATGCTCACAGCCTCGCTTCCCTGGACAACCAAAACTGTCTACATGTTGCCTGATAAGGGAAATTTGGTTATTCAACTCTATGTGGCTATGCCAAATTAGAAACAAACAAAACTGGCATTTTGGGGCTCTCAGTTAGTTCTACTTTTAATCAAATGAAGTGGTTTATATAGCTCAAGGGTTTGCTTTCGGAGGGCAATACCTTTTCCTCTTTTTATTAAAACCTCTAATCACTAACAAACTGTTTTATTAAGAAATAAGGCTTTAACAACTTGGTTAAATGAATATGTATCAGTGTAGGAAAGCATATGCTATGCTGTGTTTAAACATATTTTAAATGTAAGATTAAAGTTATATACACTGGAACGTTAACAGTGGTTGTGTTAGTGTAGTGAAATGATTGACACTTTTCTTTTTTTGGTTTGTTCATTATTTATATTATCTGTTATATGCATGTGTTATCTTTATAATAAGAGAAAAACGAAAGTTGTAACAATTACACTGAATAAGCACAACGTATGATAATGAATCTTGCAGTAGTTCTATCACCGTATCTCTAAGTTTGCCCAGTGGGGATAGCTCCTGTGGCCTGGAAGAAAAGTCAGGGATTCCCATTTTTCTGGCCACTCTTTTATAAGGAAAAGCCCCCTAGATACTTCTGGTCCCAGAATGTAGTATGTGGTTCTCAGCTCAGAAACCAGAGTCCAGCCCTGGGCAACAGTCCAAATGTTGAATATGATTTAAAGTTTCCTGTTCTCCCCTTCCTACACCGGCCGGCTTCTCTCATTCCGTACCTTGTGTTTCTTGTAACTTCTTCCTCACTCCCAAACCCCCTTCAGACTTGGAGAATGGGAAGGGAGAACAGGTAGGAAGAGGGGCCAGAACATTCTTGACGGACTGGTACTGTTATAAAGCATCTCGCTCTTTGTGCCTGGTCAGTGTTTAATCTGAGCTCTTTCCTTCTGGGTGTCTTCATGGCCCCTGCAGAGCACCCTCATCGTGGGGACAGCCACAGTAGCCACAGAGTAGCTGGCCAGCCTGAGTCTTGCCTTCTAGACTTTTCCAGACGGGATCAGACACAAGTCCACACTGGCTCCACCTCCACCTACAGGAGACACACACGGGGACTGCAAGCCCTCTGAAGGACAGCACGTCCTCACTGCTCCCTAAACACCTAGTGTGGGTGAAGGGTTAAGAGTTTTACATGGTCTAGTACAAACTGTTTTGCTACAACATGTGATTGTTTAGTAATGAATTAGTTTGTGTGTAATTGGTAAGCAGAAGGCCGATGTCAATATACTATAGAAGTTGTATCGTTTCATATATAAATTCTCTGGGGTAGGAGATACCAGAACTGTGGGAGTTGAATTTTGACCTTTGGCAAAGAAAAAGGAAACAGCTCTCTGCTCGGCTCCTGCACACACAGCTCTTTCCATTCCATTTCTAAGGATATTACAAGTGGCCACTTGCATCTGAGGCCCTTGCCCTGGCTTTGGATGCCTTAGGCTCTTGGCAGCTTGCTCTTCCTCGGTGCCCACCTTAGCAGCCCCGCTATCCAGAGATCCTGTTCCATCCTCGTCGTCTCAGGGCCCCCCCACACTAGCACTGCCACCTGACTGTTTCTGTGCATCTGTAACATCGTCCAGGGGAGCCTCGGACCTGCCAGGCGGGTGTCCAGGTTACCTCCAGATGTTGCAATTCTTGGTTTGGTTTGTGCTCTGGCTATAAAGTTGCATACGTTTTGAGCATTCTGCCCTAATACCATTTTTCCCATAAACCATGTTATTTTTAGTGTACAGTCTTCAGAACTGAGATTTTTTCAGGAATGTATATGTCATGTTATAGTGGAAACATTTGCACTTGGAATTCGCTATCTGTGTGCTTCAGCTAAAACTTTCACTTCAATATCCTATTACAAAATCAGTTCCAAAGAAAGAAAATATGCTGACCTTTTTTAAAAACGTATTTAACAGTACTCCTATCATAATTACTTCTATTACTCTATAATATATTATTACTTAACATTTAAGGAATCTGGTTGTATATATAGCTGGCTCTAATTATAAGATCTATCTATATATTCTGTCTTTGTAAACATGATTACACAAGAAATTACAGCTTCTGCTTTGGGGATGAAAAATAAGAATATAGCACCCAAAGACTTTTTATTTTCCACCTGAAATTGTTTTCTGTTTAAGAATCAAAAGGTATTTTCTGGATAGTTTTCTGTTTGGCCCAGAATCTAAAATGATTTAATATTTAAAAATAATGTTTATGGCTGTAATTACAGATTTTTGGCATTAATTAGATCCATGCCACAATTTCAGCATCTAATTATCCTCTAACCAATGTGTTTTGGCCCCAGCCCGGCACACCCACCGGTTCTGTCTTTGTAACTGCCTTCAGATCCCGTTCCCAAGCCTCTGGGTTTTTTCTTGGCCCTGAGATGTAGTTGGCACATCCGACTCAATTTACAGGCGTTGTTTCGAGTATATTCTGAGTGCCCGAGCTGTGTGTTTTATTTAGTTCTAGTTTCTTGCCTAAATTACAGGCAAGAAATAAAAAATAGTTATGTGGTGAAAACTTTCAATGATTTGCACATGGATTCACCGCCTTTCATATATTCCTTATGAATGTTTCAACCCGTGCGTTTTTTTTTTTTACCACCCACCAGCGAGCTCTCCTTGGGCCTGTGCCCTCTACCCGTCCATATGAAGATAGTCCTAAGGAACACACACTGTTACCATAATTGACTAAGTTAACATTATATAAATTTGTACCAGAAATGTTACTAGGTTTGTTTTAAAAGCCATAAAGGAGTGACTTTTTAATAATCCATTGTTTAAATATTTTACTGCTCCATTCTTCACATCCATTAAGATGGCTTTGATTTTTCAAAGTTTTGCTTGCTGTTAAATTATAGCAGTAAATCTGCCAAAAGAGAAAGTATAAATAGCGATTAGATTTTAGGTCCAGACTGAGGCCTCAGGGGTGTAAGAGTTGGAAAAGTATGTATGCGCAGGCAGGTATGACGTTACGAAGCTGTTTTTCCTTGCGTGACGGTGGGCTGGGAGTAAAGAAGGGAAACTGCTTCGTGGCATTTAGTAAGCAGGTGCCTCTATAGTCGAGCGCTTGGAATGCCGGGCACGTGGTATTAAGCTGTGTAACTGTATCTTCAGATTCTGTTCTTGTCGGCAGTTTCTCCAGGTTGAGTGCTCATGATGGTTTTCTGTTTTCACAAAGGGCAATCAGATTCTCAGTGGCCTCTCCATTGAAGAATACAAGACCACGCTGAAGATAATCAAGCAAGCCATTCTAGCTACAGACCTAGCGCTGTACATCAAGTAAGTTTTAAGAAATACAGTGCAAAATAGATCTTGGAAGTATTAATATTTGCATAGTTTCAAACTTTTAACATCCATATCGATCAATTTTAAAGGATAAATGTCCTGGCAAAGCCGTTTATCAGACCATGGAGCAGTTTCTTAAAGGTAGCCAGAAAAGCCTATTCCTTTGGCTTACTTACTGCTAAAAATTACAGAATACATAGTTATTTCTGATGTTTAATCTATTGCGATGTCTCTGAAGCCATATCCAAATCAAATAACCATCTCAAGATCATTCCAAACCAGGCTGTCAAAAGGTTATATAGGTCATTAGCTTTTCCTCCTTTCCCTACTTAGGGTGCCAGAAGCCAAACAGGTAACTCTTTTTTTTTTTTTTTTTTTTTTTGAGACAGAGTCTCACTGTGTTGCCCAGGCTAGAGTGCCATGGTGTCATCCTTACTCACAGCAACCTCAAACTCCTGGGCTCAAGCGATCCTCCTGCCTCAGCCTCCCGAGTAGCTGGGACTACAGGCATGCGCCACCATGCCCAGCTAATTTTTTTCTATATATTTTTAGTTGTCCAATTAATTTTTTTCTATTTTTAGTAGAGACGGGGGTCTCACTCTTGCTCAGGCTGGTTTTGAACTCCTGAGCTCAAACAATCCGCCCGCCTCAGCCTCCCAGAGAGCTAGGATTACAGGCGTGAGCCACCAGGCCCGGCCTCTTGTTTCTTTTTATTTGATTTTTGGTAGAAGAGTAGTATTATATTAATTAGATCTTTGAAGTTACTGATTCTAAGAGTATGCTTTAGAGTAGTGTTTGTGAGTTTACATTTGCATAATTGAACTGCCTTTCTAAAAGCAATTTTAAATGATGATTTTTATATTGAGTTCTAAGATGGAAAGAAAAATTAGTTTTTTTGTTTTGTTTTTACCAAAAATTTACTCCATGAGTCTTTGTAGACTGAAGGGATAACAGCCCGGGGATTCATCATAACTACTAATTTTTTTTTTTATTTTCAAGGAGGCGAGGAGAATTTTTTGAACTTATAAGAAAAAATCAATTCAATTTGGAAGATCCTCACCAGAAGGAGTTATTTTTGTAAGTGGGTTTACTATCCTTAAAGCCGAAGTTTTGTTACCCCATTAATTTTACACTGTTTTTATGACAATTATTGGTTATAATGTGATGATCTTAAGGGATATCAGACTTCTCCAGAGTATTGTATAAAGGAAGGAATATAAATATTTACTTGAAAAGAAATGCATCTGCAAACTCAAGTGAATGAATTGTTCCTTTGTTCTAGAAAAACCTTTAAAACGTAGTAGAGTAACATACAAGGCTATAGGGTTCCCCTATTCATTTTCCTTTAGAATGGAAGAGGTGAAAATGGAATCCTAAAGATTGTGGGCGCAAGATGTGATGGCAAAATGTTTATTACTTCTCTTGGAAAAAAATCCTGAAAAGATAGAGCAGTGAGGTGGGGGTCCAGACATGGAAGAAATACTATAAAGTATAATTAAAGCAGTTTGGTATTGGTGGCAGACCAGCAGAACACAGTAGGAAATCTAGAATTGCAGAGGATATTTAGTATATAATAAAGATAGTGTTTCAAGTAACTGGGGAAAAGATGGAGATGAGTGGATAGATAGCCAAATGGAAAAAGGCAAAATTGGATCTGCTCTACATACTTCAGTTCCAACTGGAGCAGAGAGTTCGGTGTGGAGAGTTACACCATGCAAGTACTAGACAAAAACATGGGTCAATTCTCCTATAACCTAGGAGTAAGAAACCTTTCCTAACTTTAGTGCACCATGAAGAAGCAATAAAGGAAAAAGACTGATAAACTTGATTAATCATTCAAAGGTTTTTCACATAGAAGTCACTGCATATATTGAGTTAGTATAACCCACTGTTATTTCTGAAAAAGGACTTCTATCAGTAGGATATTGATGTTATTCTTTAATGGTTAATTATTAGTAATCAATGTGCTTTTATTATACTGTCACCAAGAATGGAATACCAGGGTGACAATAATAGCAGGCAAGTTTTTACCCAAAGGTTAATAATTTGTCCTGTGCCAATCTGGAGCTAAAGAGGCGGTTTGAGTACAAATTCCAATAGTTCAAAGAGTAACTTAAAACAATGACCCTCTTTTATCACTGTGTAAGTCAGGCTTCTATATAAAGTCCGTTTCTGTTTCTTTGGTCTTTATAAACTGCCATTCCCATCATTTAGAGGGTTTTAATTTAACTTTGTTATTAGTAACTATTTACTGAGAGGATATATTCACATGAAAGTAAACAGGTGTTTTGGGTTTCCTTTTTCCCTTCTTAACAGAGCAATGCTGATGACAGCTTGTGATCTTTCTGCAATTACAAAACCATGGCCTATTCAACAGCGGGTATGTTGCTTAGTGACAATAAAAGTAATAACTAAAAAGTCGAAGTATAGAAAAGTCTTTACTCACAAAGGTAACTTCTGAAGAAAGTATGGAACTTTTTTTCTAATTTTTAAGTAGTATTAAAAGAAGATAATTAGACATAAAAAAGCTTTTCTTTTTAGAAGACTCATTTGCACTTAATATTTGTAAATTGTATTAAGAAAGAGAATTCATATTAACACAGCAAAAACCTAGCTGTTGATAAGTTTTAATTCTAGTACTACAGGTTGAGTATTCCTAATCTGAAATGCTCCAAAACCCAAAGCTTTTTGAGCACTGACATGACATTCAAAAGAAATGCTCATTGGAGCATTTCAGATTTTCAGATTTGGGATGCTGAACCATTAACTATAATTCAAATATTATAAAATCTGAAAAAAAAAAACAAAACAGAAATCCAAAATACTTCTGGTCCCAAGCATTTTGGGTAGGGGATACTCAACCTATACTTCTGGGTCACTTTGGGAATGTTTTTAGCATCCCTTTAATAACCTTGAAAATTGGAAGGAGTTGTTTTTCTTATGGTTAGCCTGCTAAGCTATACCTTAGCTCTAAATATGCATTAACAAGTAGAACTTAAACATTTCTGGGCTTTTAGATGTAATAAGTGTTGATATAAGATGTCAGGAAGGATCTGACTAGGGCCTGTTGCCAGGAGGCTACAACGAAATCCTTCCCTCTAAATAAGTAACTGACATACGTTTTGCAGAGGCAATAAAGGCTGGGAAGAGTGATGAGTACACCTGTAGTGATGTGGTGTTTTTGTTTTTGAAGATTTCATTTTGAATCCTTAATGCACTGAGATTATCGAGTCTGATGTTGGTCAGGGCTGCAGTCACAGAGCCGAGCGGCTACAGACTCATCTCATGAAACAGACGTGCTAAGAAAACAAAATCACAAACTCACTCTCCCCGTGCTGAAGCCACATGCCATAGCACTAAGGAAAGGTGACCTTTACGTACCTTCCTGCTCCACAGTAAACAGGACTCTGTGCCCACTTCCAGGTAGGGCAGGAAATGGGCGAGGGAGGATTCTGTCTTTTCATGTATCCTTTCAGTCTTCTAAATGAAACCCTTGTACCAGGTGTTTGCAGGGAGGAAATAAAGGAAGGAAGAAAAAAATTGTTTAAATAAAACAGGAAAAATGTTGGAAGCTACCAAGGAGAGAAAGATTTACAGAAGTGGGGGAAAGTATAATGTAATAGTCAAGAGAACATGCTTTGGACACGGACTACTTGTGTTCGAGTATCATGCTGCTACTTATTAGCTATAATATTATTCTTATGCAACTTACTTCATGTTTGGACCTCAGTTTCCTTATCTATAAAATGGAAATATGTAACCCATAGCAGGGCCCTCAAAGTCTGTTTTAAAGAGTGATATGCTTTTGTCAAAACTCAATCTGTTATTTATTTCAGATAGCAGAACTTGTAGCAAGTGAATTTTTTGATCAAGGAGACAGAGAGAGAAAAGAACTCAACATAGAGCCCACTGTAAGTATGAAACCTTATTGACAGGAGTTATTCAAATGCTTTTTTTTTTTTCTTTGTAAACTTCTTTGGGATCCTTGGGAACACAATTTCTCATTTTATTTTTTAAAACTCTTTTCTGACTGGGCACAGTGGCTGACACCTGTAATGCTAGCACTTTGGGAGGCTAAGGCGGCAGAACTGCTTGAGGCCAGGAGTTCAAGAACCCAGTTCTAAAAAAAAAAAAATTAAACAATTAGCCGGGCGTTGTAGTAGACACTTGTAGTCTCAGCTACTCAGGAGGCTGAGGCAGGAGGATCACTTGAGCCTGGGAGTGTGAGGTTGTAGTGAGCTATGATGACACCACTGCACTCTAGCCCAGGCAACAGAGCAAGACCCTGTCTCAAAAAACAAAAAAGCTTTTTTCTTATTAGAAGAATTATACATGTTCATAACAGAAAGCAAAGCAAAAAAAACACAAAAAAGACTCTTAGGATCATCATTTTGTACTACTTTTTTATAATTTGCTTTCTCCGTTAAACCACTTTTCATCCTGACAAGTACTCATACGTATTATTTATCATGATTACATGAAATCGATGGAACCACGTGCCTTGGTGTAGTGCTGTTTGCAGTGTTCACTGTTACAGACAGCACTGCAATAAACATCCATGTTGCTAAACTTTTGCATACCATTCTTCATTATGTTGTTAGGATAAATTCCCAGAATTGCTGTGTTGAAGGGCAAATAGAATTTAAAGGTTTCTGATACATACTGTCTTTTTACATAGAGTATGGATCTCAAATACAAGAAAAAGATTCTTCTCAAACCACTTCTGTCTTTTGGAATGAGTTTTCCTAGAAATGAAGCATAGCTTCTTTCTTCTTTTTGGTATAGTTGCTATCTGACCTTCCTAAGCTAACCCACTGATTGATCTTTTTAGAGCCCGCTTTCATTGTGTTCTTTAAATAAATGCACATTTCTGTGTCTGTGTTTGTATTTTCAGGATTTAATGAACAGGGAGAAGAAAAACAAAATCCCAAGTATGCAAGTTGGGTTCATAGATGCCATCTGCTTGCAACTGTATGAGGTACTTATATGAAATAGACTTGCTAAACTTAGACTGTTATGAATTAAAACCCAAAGTAAATTGAAGAGATTAATATGAGGCACATATTTTTTGCTTCTAAATCAAGAAATAAAATTTTAGTATTGTTTCTTTTACTGATGAACATGATATTTATATTGAATAAGGAGCACATTATTTTTACTGTTTCTCAAAAACTTTAATTCATTCAATGTATTAGTATCTATTGAGTGCCTACTGTGTGCTAGTCTCCAACAAACTGAGGAGGTACTAAGAAGAATCATGCCAATGCTGCCCTCAAGGGGGTATATAAGCATATTCTTTTTTAAGTCTAAATCTCAGCCTAAATATGGAAAAATAATTATCCAACTTTTTCTCACCATTATAATGTGGCTTTAATATTGTTAAGAAAAATTTTATGATGATTAAAATGAGGTGGTCAGGCTCCCATTTCCATATATCTGTTGGCTTGGCTTTTTGGGGGGGAGGGTTATTAGGTAAATAGATTCTTCCTAAAACATCCAATTTACTAGTTTAGATGTTTATGACCCAAGTACAGAACAAAGAGGCTGTCTCTGTCTTTAAAAGTTTAAACAGGAAACTGAAGTTTTAATTATTTGGGTAAAGAACACTTATCTTGGAGTTACCTTACAATGTCAAGACTCTACAAATTTTTTAACCTAGACATCTCACAATTCAGAAAGTGATTTTGTAAGGTGCATCTCCCAGGGAGATGGAATATTTGCCCCAACCAGGTAGTAGGAGAACTGCATCTAGAGTTCTCACCCCTGGTCCAGGGTTCTAGCCATCAAAAGAATTTAATAAAGAAGCTATAGCTCACGAGGAAAGGACAGGAGAGACACCGAAAGAAACAGAGGGAAAAAAGAACATCAAGTGTCCTGCCTCCACCATTGTCTCCCCACTTTTTTCAGCCTTCTACTTGTTTACTCCTTTGTTTAAAAGTCCTTCCTCAGAGGTATGTTCAGAGCAGTGTTTCAGACACCCTTGACCATCTCATCCTTTGCTTAGCAGATTCTCTTCTTATTGGATTAAGAGTTCCTCAGTTAAAAATACTAATGGCTCTTCTGATTTTTTTCCCCTATCCCTGTAAATCCAATCAGCATAGTAATCAGATCACTCATTATAGATTTCATCCTTCTACATTGCTTAGATATGCAAGGATTCATTCTCTTTCAGTCTGCTGTTGAAATCCTATGTGATATTGATATGTATTTTTACCATTATTTATTACAGAAGTAATAGATCCTCACTGTAGAAAAACAAGAGAATACTGAAAAGCAAAAAGGAAGATAAAAATCACTTATAATTCCACTACCTAGAGATAACTACTGATAACATATTAGTGTAATATGCTTTGACATTTTTGTGTACTTTTCATTTAATAAAAATTGCATTTTGCAATCCATACATATTGTAATATACGTATTTATGCATCAAGTGTGTTTCTGTGACATTTTAAATGGCTTCGAAATAGTAACACAATATACCTAACCCTGTTACAGGATATTTGTCATTTTCAGTGTTTCTCTATTCTGAAGAAATCTGCAATGAACATTCTTGTAGCTAAATATTTATGGCACTATAGTGTAAATAATAATCCACACCAAATTATCCATTTAATATAATCTTAGATGAAAACCTATTTAAGTACATTGTATAAAGCCATTCTATAGAGGAAAAAAACACAAAAACTAAGCAGCTCCTAATGCAGTTACATTTGGGCAGAGCCAACTGTGCTACATAGAAAAAAAATGTCTCGTTTCCCCTAAAAGTGGATTCCATGCAGATCTGTCTCCATAGCTCCGTAATGTTATTTGGGAATGTGTCTGCTCTCTCTCCCAGCACGGACTCCTTATCTGTAGAGCTTACGAGGAATCATTCTAAACAATCCGCGATCCACGTCTGTGTGCACACAGCTTGCTTGTGAAATGAGTAGGGACGTGGCCCTTCGTGACAGGCCTGTGGGAGAGGGCTCATTTCCTGGCTTCCTTCTAGTTGTGTGATTTCTTTTTCTTTCTTTAGGCCCTGACCCATGTATCCGAGGGCTGTTTCCCTTTGCTGGATGGCTGCAGAAAGAACAGGCAAAAATGGCAGGCCCTTGCAGAACAGCAGGAGGAGGTGCTGCTGAACGGGGAAAGCGGCCAGGCGCAGAGGAACTGAGTCGGTGCTTCACGCAGTTGAAGTTTACAGAGAGGACGTATTCTGCAGGATGCCTGGTTTTGTTGCACACTGTACAGATTTGGTGTATACTTTGCCACTGCTGTATTTTTATTTTTGCACAACTTGAGGGGACTATACCATATTTTCTGCGTATTTGTTTTATGCCACTGAACTCACACGGTCAACGACACCCACTCTTAGCACAGTGGTCAGAGTGCTGTGTGTGGTGTTTTGTGTACTGCCAAGTGCAAGTGGTATTCTTGGCACTGAGGCTTTTTGTTTGGGGATTTTAAACACTTGATTTTTGTTTTCTGAATTACCAGTTTTTCAAGAATGTTTGGAATCTTTGCTTTCTCAGAAGTAGATTAAGAGCAAATTAAATACATTCTGTGACATTTAAAGCCTTCGTAGGATAGAGAAAAATGTTGGCTGAGTAGATTTTAAGGAGAAACAAGTATATTTGTCAACAATATCTTAACAGAAAGGTACTCTGAAACAAATGGAAAGTAATATGAGGCAGTATTATAAAGAAAATGTTTTACTTAATTGGTCTGTTTTTGAGAGAGAACAAACAGGAAATAACTTTGTCATTTCAGTGCAGTGCATTTTGCCAAAGGCTACTCATAAAATCATTTCAGTCTCACCTGTCTGAAGGTAACCAGGAGCCCGCAGGAGACGATCTGGCCACCGACTTCACCAAGGGATGGCCGTGACCCGGCACAGCCATGGGGGTCTGTCGGCAAAGAGAAATGCTCTGAGAGTCTTTTTCCTCCCGAACTTCCTTTTTAAGTAAGTTTCTCATCTGTCATCTCTTTAAAAGCCAGTTTGTAAGTCAGAAGCTTAACTCTTTACAGGAAAATGTGATAATTGGACCATTAACCTGAAGAGAGACATGATTTATAGGTAAGAGGATACAAAATGAACCTTTTTTCCCTCTGCCAAGAGAAGTTTTAATTACATAAATGGCAAAGGGTTATCCCCAATACTGGGGTCAAAAATGAATTCAAGGGAGCATTATGGTAAGAAACTTTATGCTGGAATAAAATTTAGGAGTATTGTGATTAAGAAACTGATTCTGAAATCAAAATATGGCAGAGAAGTTTGGATGTGTACCCTAAATCTGTTTCAAATGTGCAGGAACATTTGGATTTGGGAAGAGTAGCAAGATTTGATTTGTTAACTTCTACCCCCCCAAAAAAGGTAGTAGATCTGAGTTTTTGTCACTAATTTGGATAGAAAATTTCTTGGGGATATGGTAATACATCGTTCTCAAAAACCTTTCACCAAAACATAGTTTCCATTTATGTACTTTTCCCCTAAACTTTGCCTAAAATGTAACACGTATGCTAAAGTTTTTTAAATTGAGTTCATCTTGACATAACGTGGCTTTTTTAACATTCAGGTAAAAAAAAAAAAAAAAAAGCAAAACAAATTGTATTACCATTACTTTGTAGTGGTAAAGGCTAATCTAAGAAATTATCAACAATTTCATATTATTATACTTGTATTTTTGGGATATTATTTTGTCATACAGATGAAATCTGTAAGGTTGCCTCTTGGTGGCACTGATGTGTAAATTACACAGACTCACTAAAATAATAGTTACATCTACAAACTGGTGTACACATGCATGCATTCATAATTCCTTCAGTATAGAAAAATTGCTTAAGAATAGCAATCTTTAATAAACCTTTTTATCACATACATTGTGATTTAGCAATTATGCTAAAATATATAGTTATATACTTCAGTAATTTGTTAGACCTCTCTAATATATGTCACTGAGAATTTTTTTTTTTAAACATGGTAGATTGTGTGGAGGATTTGTGTGTGCATTTTATTAAGAAGATACATTTTACTTCACTAGTTTAGACATTAAAAGAAGTTGGGCAATGCCATACTTATTTTATTGTCCAATATTTTAGTTCCCACAGAAGAGGTTTTTCATAAAGAACTTCTTTAGGACTGGTTAATTGGTTCCAGTAATTTTTAATTTGTAGGAAAATTATTCCATACATGGATTAATATCTGTGGTACATGGGCACAGAGTTTTTGCTTTTATGTGAATGTTTCCTTTCTAGTATCTTCTCAAGTTAGAAAAAATAGAGTCCTCCCTCACCCTACCCTCTATTTATATTGCCCATAACTAGCCAGAAGTTGTTCTAGATTGTTTGTTTGTTTAGTTATAGTGGAGTAACATGACACCATTTAAATTTGCAGCCAGGATAGTCCCACTATTTTACTAACTTGTTAAAAGATGTCTATAAGATTGTCAGGTCTTATATTTTTCAGTGGTTTGGCCTTTGCCAGTCACAGTCCTGTGTGAACCTGTGTAAGTCACGTAACCTCTGTGTGCCTGAACAAGCTGTGCTTTTAAAGGAGTTTGGGCAAAGTATTTGTCTCACAGAGAACGTCACAGAAGGCAGCTACACTGCAAGCCCAACGGGCCCTGGAGACCACTGTCAGAAATGGGATACGGGTCTAGAGAGCACATGATCTAATCCCACATGTCATTTCTTGTGTTGATTTTCCAAGACTTTCAAAACAAATACGATACACTCATTCAGCTTCACGTGCATCACTAGTGAATATGAGATTTAGAGCTCTTTGAGAATCTCGCCTTACGGTACAAACCCAGGATGGTGGTGTCACCACTGATCTCTTAATTATGAAAATTAGTTTCCTTTAATAGGAGTACTAGAGATAAAAACGTGTATGGAAATACACCGGAAATATTGGATTCTAGGAGGAAACTCTTTGGTCACAGATACACGCTTGCTTAGCAGTGAAGTGCCTTTATTTTCAGCATAGAACTTAAATATTAGACCTGTCCCAATTTATAACTTTTCTGTATTTTTCACCGAACTGTACTCAACAGGCCACCACAAGCAATGCTGTGTTTTAACAAGACTAGTTTAAGATGAGAGGGGGGAAAAAGCGTAATTGCCATCCTCTCTGGTGAACAACTGTAGTTAAAATAAGGTGGCACAATTTAGTAGGTCGGTATCAGGCATGCATCGACCTTTTATTAAGTACCATGCTCTGTTGTGGCGACAGAGCAGAGACCTCAAGGAGCTCACAGTCTATGCCAAAGGGCCTGGGTAAGTGACTTAACAGCTTCTGCTACTGCCAATCAACGTGAAAACACGGGGTACGTTTCATCTATAACATATGTATTATGCACCTTCTTTACCTGAAACACGTTAAGAAACTGCCAGTTAATATCCTGTCTTCTTGCAAGTATGAATCACTTAACCTGTTGATAGTTTAAGAACACCTTATGGAAGGATTATTTTTCCCACATGCTAGCCAGGTAGAGCTTACTGAGTTCTCTCGGACTGTTCTCGTGTGCAGTTTTCGACCCCTTCTGCTCCACAAGGAGCGAAGAAGTATTAACGCTTACTTTGCCATTCCTTTCACTTATCAAAAGACTTTGTAAACACGTCTTAATGAATGTTGTTGAAAGCTATGTAAATAGTTGAAAATATAAATTTCTATTACAGTTTAAGAAAAGAAAACCTTATGAATCATCACTAGCCACTGTTAATATCTGTTTGTATTCTTATACCTTTTCAATATATTTGAACAAATATATAGTTTCTGGCACTATTTTTGTACTAGGAAAAGGAGTTACTATGTATATTATGTTTAAGTCATTTTAAATAATCATGAATGTCGATTTCATTTCTTTCCTCTCCTCCACCATGAGAGTCATTTCAGATGACTCTTCTGTGACAAAAAATCACTTTAAAGGCACACTTACACACCTCTGATCCCTGTGAAGTCATGAGGTGGTCAGGGTGGTTTTCCACTGTGCAAAACTTCTCCCCTGTCAGGTGTTTCCTCATTTTGCCATGCTTTGTAAAAATAAAAATAATAAACAAGTAGGTATGAATATTGTGTGATTATTAGGGGACTCTGGATTTTAGGCAGGGAAAATGGGCCCAATCGTTGAAGAAACTTGAAGTAAGCTACCATGTGGTCCTGTTAACCACGTGAAATGCTTGGTTTAGTAAAGTCCTTAGCCTAGGAATTATTAATACCCTTTGCTACCAGTTTGAGGGCCGTGTTTTCCATGACCTTCCTACTTCAAGTTAACTCGGTGGAGGGTGACCGTCGCCAGCCTCATGCTACACGAGGACTAAGGCTTAGGAGTTAGATACCTGCCAAAGGGTGGGAACTGGATTTAAGCCCAGATCTGTCTCCTTTCAAAGCAAGCGTTTATTTCACTTAGTTCTCTTTTTGTTTGTTTACTTTTTGTAGAGACAGGGTGTTGCAGTGTTGCCCAGGCTGGTCCCCACCTGGCCTCAAGTGACCCTCCCGCCTTGGCTTCCCAAAGTGCTAGGATCATAGATGTGAGCCATTGTGCCCGGCCTCGTTCTCTTTTTGAATTTTAATTTTTAAAGGTCCCAAATCCATTTTTACTGGATCAAATGGGCTACCTAGAAGCATTAGAGATAACATTCCCTCCCCTCACCCAGCAAGTTTGGGTTTTGTTTTTGAATTTTCAGGGTTAACATTTCCTAATTGAGTTCATCTGGTAACAGTTAATGTAATGCCTTCACAGAATCCCAGACACGTGTCCCAGTGCTTCTAGTTTGGAAGTAGGAGTAACTGCAGAATATCTGATTTCAGCATTTTGCCACTAGACAAGCCCTCCTCGTGTGGAGTGGAATATCTAGGTTATGCCTACTTCACAAAGCTAAAGGAGAAAGTAAAGTATGAGCTCATGTAGAACAATATTTTAGGTTTTCTGACCACTAGAGAGTGCCAGAGTTTCAGTTGTACTTAAAGAAGTAATCTTCCCTTACTGGCCATAAAGAACTAATAAAACTAGTTTTTAAAAGATTTTTAGTAGCAAAAGAAAAGTAAATGGAAAAAATCAAGAGGATTTAAGGAAAAATAAAAGGGAAAAAATAAGTGCTTTCTGGATTTTTAAAGACTTGTTTTACTGCCCTTTGTCCAATGACCACGTCAAGATTTTCTCCAAACAATAAGAGGTCATTTGAAGTCTCTCTGATAACTGGGTATTCCATTCATGGAGACATCAACCCTTGCTATAGAAAAGGGAAGCATCTGACAACTCTCTCGAACCCGCATTCTTGCTATTAGCTGCGCTACCTTCTCAGCAAACAGGGATTCCTATATTTGCTATGTAGA